TTGATTATTATTTTAGTATTATTTTAGTTATACAATGCTACTATTTAAATTATTTTGTATTAATACTTCTGGATAAACAATGTTTAAAGTAGAGTAGTTGGTAGTTTCTTGTGGTAAAAGAATTTTAATTGATCGTGGAGATATACAATGGGAAAGAGCGATATAAAGTTGGCTATGTATAAAAACTGCAGTTCTAAGATCCAATCCAATATGCTTTAGTGATTGACCCTGAGATTTGTTTATAGTAATTGCAAAAGCTAATTGAATTGAAAACTGTCTTCTTTTAAAAATAAAAGGTAAACTTGTTGAAGATGATATCAATGTAATGTGAAAAATAAAAACCAAATTTCTAGCTTGATCATCACTAAGAATATGTGCTTCAATAATATGATTTCTAAACTAAACTACAATTAAACATGCTCTATTACAAAGACCTTGGTTAGGAGCAAGATTATGAAGAAGTATAATAGGACAGCCAATTTTTAAGTCAAGCTTAAAAGATGGCATTCCAGATGGAGTAAGAGAATTCAAATATTCTGTAGGATATTTATTGCTATTATCTGCACTATCTTTTATTATTGTATTATTAGCACTTAAATATGTATAGTTGTTTCCAGGAAACATATTAAATATAGCACAATTGATGTCATGTACATCATAATTACAGGCAGATAAAATCATTCTATCTCTTAAAAAGTTATTGCTTGGTATTTCTAAACATATATTAGAATAAATTGAAATAATAAAAGATTGTATATCAGGGCCAATTTTCATATATTCAAAAAGTGAAACTATATTATTTAGTGCTGAAATATTTGTTCCATTTCCAATCTAAAAAAAAATATAAAAAATATAAAAAATTAATATAAATAAAAAATAATAAAATAGTAATATTAATTATATATTTTTAATTGCATATTTCTATTTAATGTATGAATAACTATATACTGCCACAAGTATGATTGTCTGCAACTATTTGTTCTCTTAATCTTTTAGGAACAACTAGTAAGATTTGATGAAAATCTCTACCAAAAACAACTATAATACCACCAAAAGGTCAAGTATTATTTCTAATATCACGCAAAAAATGATCAACAGCCTCAACACAAAGATGGTTTTATATAGGCACTTCATCCCAAAAAATTAATACAGTTTGTTGAAATAATTCTGCATGTTTTAAATTTTTATCAATAGTACAAATAGAGCTCTTATTAGGATCAAAAGAAATTTTAAAAATTGAATATGCTATATGACTACCAATTAGCAAGAGAGCTGCAATACCAGAAGCTGCTATACAAATTACAATTTTTCCTTTACTGTAAACTTTCATTACATTTGTATTGTAAAGAAAAGTTTTGCCAGTTCCAGCAGGTCCATTTAGAAAAAATAAAATACCATCTTCATTTGTTACTAAATCAAAAATACTATTATTAAGCTTGTTGGCAAATAGCATATAAGAACTACCTCTAAATGACAAGTGCCATGCCTATAATAGGTCCCTTTTCCCATGTTTCAAATTAAGGCTCTTTTCGAATCAAGCTATGATGTATATTATTCAAAGAAAAGTCTTCAAATTTCTAAAGAGCGTCATTAGAAAAACCTATTTGTTGTTCTCCTTCTATTCTATTCTTTTGTATTATGAATTACTTCATTGACAAAAAGGCCCCAACTTCTTATAAGCACCTTCTTTCTAAAATTTTGAAAGCAAGAGTGCCAACTCTTGCCAGTTATCTTGTTTCCTAATGCTTCTAGTTTGCATGCCAAATATGTAAAGGAGTCTCTGGAATCAAAGAGTTGACCTTTACAAAAACCACCCCATAGTACTGTCTTCTTCTCTCCAACAAATTTTTGTTTTTCATTTAGTGGGAAATTTTGGTTCAGGTGATCGTCAGAAAGAGTTCAAAATTTTGATGATATTATTAATTTATAGTAAAAGCATTATGCTTAATAATAGTAGTTAAATAGTAAAAAGTAGCAATTACTATATTAATTTTTCTCTTTTTTTTAAAAAAATAAAATTGGTACAGTATTTTGTTTTAAAAATATGTCTATCAATAAATTAATAATATCTTTGAATATTATTAGTTCTGATGAGAATTCTATCCTATTAATTAGCTCTTCTAAGAATGAACTTTTTTCAAAAATAATTCCTTTATAAAAGGAAAAAAATTTTTTAAAAAAAATTGTTCTTTTAATGAAAATTTTGATAATTTTGACATTAATGATACATTTAAAGAGAATAAAGTTTCTGTGAATTCTTTTTTTCAAGAAACTTCTAGATTTTCGCCTAAAGTAGAAAATTTGAAAAGTTTTCTTACTAAATGTTTGACTACTAAAAAAATAAAATAATTCATTTATTAACTCCAATCAAATATTCACCAACATATAAAGAAGAAATTAAAATAGTATCATGTTAATGGGTGGCAAAATGTGGATTAGGCATTTGCAGACATAAATATTTTATAATATATCTAATAATAGGTAAGATAGAGGCATTATTGGCTATAATTTTTGTCAAATAAATGTAAAGGTAATGATTATTTATTTAGTAATATAATTATTTAATATGCTATATTTATTTTATTTAAATTTATTAAATTATTAACAAATATTCAAAATAAACCTGTTAAAAACAAATGAAAAAAATCTGCAAAAGCTAAAAACCCAAGTAATTACTATTAATTCTGAAGATTCAAGTGAAAGCAATTATAAAGCAAATACAAATATCAATAAGCTTGAATATTAAGAATGTTTTTTGTCACTAAAGAAACCTGAACTGGATATGAAGCAAAGGTTCATTCGATTGAATTAGCAAACATTGAAAAGGAGCAAAGTTTAAAATCTATATATTAAAAAGCCTAAAGGCTTCACTTAGGTCATTTAAAATTTTTTTGGCACTATTTATTTAGGGAATGATAAATTTATAATGAAGCACAATGTTCTGCACCACCAAGATATTTTTGACCAAAAAATCAAACTTATTAATCGTTGTATGTAGAAAAAATTTGCAATTTTAATTACAAATAATAAAGCATTCGATTAGAGATATGAATGTTATAAAAAATCTTGATTTTTTTATTAAAGTGATATATATAATCTTGTAAAGATCTTGATTTTGTGAGAATAATACATACAATTCTGTAAAATCTTGATTTCTGTTAAAACATTTTTGTAGGATTTTCATGAGGTCACATAATTAAATTATTTACTACTCTACTACTATATATTATATATATGTTGAGTATAGGATGCTAGTTTTATACAACATACTTAAATGTGATTTTTGTAGCATACACCACTACTTTGCTAGACCATACATCACAACTATTTGTAGCATACACCACTACTTTACTAGACCATACATCATAACTATTTGTAGCACTATTTAAAATTTCATTTTGAATTACTTAGTTGTATAATGCCTGTAGTAGAATGTATCTTAATAGTTAATTCGAAATTTTCTTATTAATAAATCTTAAATTGAAATTTAATATAAAGCTACATGATTTAATAAATTATAATATATATATATATAGTTACAAATTACAAATATTACATGTTATAATAAAATTTTTTCTAAAATAAAAAATAAAATAAAAAATTTAGAATAGTATATAATAACTATATAAATTAAAATTAATAAGCTTCATATAAATTACGAATAAGAACAATAACGTTAAGGCTAAAGTTGTCGATAAAACTAATTTTGAGGTTCATTCATAGCCAGAATTTTTCATTGGATAATATATTTAGTTTCATCAGTATTTATCAAATTTTTACCAGTTTCTCCCACGTATATAAAAATTATTTGATGAATTATTATCAAAAAAATTTATCAGTATATGGTAAGTACTAGGAAGGATGCTTATACATACTATACTATAAAAAAGGTTGTTATTTTTCCAATTTTTTTTTTAAAAAAATTCGATATATTTAAATAGATTCACAAAAAGTTTCTAACATCAATAAAGAATTATTTTCACAATAAAACTAAATATTATAATATGTATCATTTTGCTTTGTTCTTATTAAACAGTCTGTATATAGAGAGAGACCTTTATAGCAAAAGAATAGTAATGAGCTAAAATAAATTATATACCTATTCTTCAAGAAATTGTATAATTTTTAAGAAAAAAATTTTTTTTGGCCAATTGCCACCTTTTGTTGTGGAGGTTCCCATTATGGACTTTGGCTTACAAACTTAATTCTCACATTAGGTAGTTTCTTAACTACATTTTCTTTCGCTATATTTGCTATAAATTGCTATTAGCTTAATACTGTATATTATTTACAAATTGTATTCTCTACCCTTAAAAAATTGGCAAAATTTTCCAGAATGCAACTCAAGTGAAAATCAAATCACTATTCTGAAATTGCCTTTTAAAATCAGACAAAGTAGTTGTGAACTCATATTTTGCAGGATCCCCATAACGTTCTTGAAAACCTAGGGCATGGATGTGTAAATACTTTTTATAAAGTAATTTATATGAAATATGAATCTTTTCAGAATTTGGTAAGGGATACTGAGCCATCAGGTCTTTGGCTTTTATAAAATGTTCTGTGATAATCCAATCTCTATACAACAAATTAAAAATTGAAGCACAGTTACCTATCGAGAATTTGCTACTAGTATCCTTAGGTCAGAAGAATATAAGAGAATATGAAGTATTAGCTTCTTGAATGCATAATGGCATATAACTAGGCTTATAACCTGATTGTAAATCTTTAATATAATACATTTCAAGTAGAAAATTTTTATTCAGTTCCAAGTCTTCAGGGACTTTATACAATTCCTGATCCTCTTTAATTTGGTTTTGTTTAAACTATAATGTTTCTTCATCAAATTGGTCATAAAATTTACAGTAGATTACGCATAAGTTACATTCACAATTAATAGCCGGTATTTTAGCTTTATTAAATAGTCCTTTATACAGACACTGTTCATATGGATTAGGCTATTCTTTGTTATTTACATTAGGATTAAGTTCTAATCCAAATGTTCAAATCAAATCTTTCTGAATTGCCCAACGATGAACTGCTGAATTGGATGAGATCATCCATAACTTGTGGAGCTTCTTTTCAATCAACGATTTTAAGTCTTGATAGTGCTCTTCAGAGTCAGAATTCTGAACAATCTTTATGAAATTATCTCGGAGTTGGTCTCGCTCATTAAGGATTGAATTCTGAACTGCCTCAGAGAGATTATCTCATAATTGATTTTGCTGCTTAGGATCAGAATTCTGATATATTTTACATTTTTTCCATTCTTCCCAATAATTAGTTGAAAATTTTTTCCAGAGATTTAAATCTTCTTTGTGAGTTCTGTTTAGAACAATGAATAATTTCTTTTTCAAACTTGTGTGATTTTGTTTTATTAAAACAAGTACCTCATTTTTATAATATTTAACAACTGCCTTATATAGGTTCGAATAAGAAAAGAAGGACAAGACTTCATCTTCATCTGGTTTAGTCTCATTAAGTATGAGAGTATTCACTAAGTGAACAGTGGCCGAATTAACTTTGACTAAAGGAAAAGTAAGGATATCACTCTCTTCTGTTTTTAAACCTTGTGAATTTAGTAAATTTTGAAATAAATCATTATGATTTTCATCATTATTACGGTCATGTTCGTCATCTATTTCAACATATTCTGGTATTCTTGAGCGAGGAACATTTTTAAAGATATCACAAATAAGTCTAAAATTTCTAAGTTCTTCTCGTAAAATAGTAGAGCAAAGGACCAACACTAGCTTTGGAGAAATAACATAATAGTAACGGTAGGCGAAATGACCATTGGAAGTTGGCTTGAGACTATTCTCTCTGTCATAGATTCCAAATCCATCACGAGTTGTAATAAACTCATCATTTTCTCCTGCTTCCCAAATTACTAGAAAACGATTTATCATGAAATCTACGTAATCATTCCTATCAGGCAAAAATATTTGTAAGTTGTTTTTGATATTTTTAATATCTTTAATATTTTTATATATAGTATTTAATATTTTTAGGATATTCTGTAACCAAACTTCTCGGGATGTTGTATTTTATATTCTTTCATAAATTCTTCTAATGCTGGCCATGTTAGTAGATCAAATCTATTATCAATAAATTGAGATTGTCGATAAGGTTTTCGATAGCTCATGATAAAAAGAAACCTTTTCAAATTATTAAGGCTTGTGCTAGACAAAACGACCTGATTTTCTTTTTAAGATATATTAATAATACTACGAATTACATCTGATACTTGCATTTCTAATTCCAATAGTTTCTTTTCTACTCACATCACATCTTCATGATTAAAATCTTTATACATATTCTTGATTCCATAAGTTTTTGAAACTGGAGAGGTATCAAATTGTTCTTTACTTCTATAATAAACTTGAAGGAATGTTTTTTCCTTCTTCTTTTTCTTAAATTTCTTAACTTCCTGTTCTTGTTTGTTGGGTGATATTACATTGCTTACAAATATTCTTTTATGATTATTAATAGCAAAATTTCAAAGAATGAACCTTGGAATATAGTGATGGTATTGATCTTGATCTTTTTGCATTATATATTAGAGTACTCAAAAGTCTCTACATAATAAGCAAGCAAATAAGTGCAGTAATTTATTATTATTGTAACATATTGCATGTTACACTGGGGTATTCCAAATACTAATTAGTTTATTATTCAAAGAAAGTGTTCAAAAATTTATTTACGAGCATACTACTGTTATAGAACGAATTTATTATTAGTTTATTATTTTATTATTTATTAATTATCTTAGAATATTATTATTATCTTGTA